GGGGGGGGGGGGGGGGGGGGGGGGGGGGGGGGTTGTACAGGGTTCAATGTCCTATCAACAGCTAAGGTCATTTAAGGATGTCGGGTGGGGGTGAATGCAAAGGGGAAAAGACAAAAAGCAAAATTGATCTGATCAGAGACATTGATGATGACGCACTTGTTAATATAATTTAACAAAAAAAGAAGGAAATAATTTTTACAATAAAAGCACAAAACATTATCAAACTCGAACAAGAAAATATATTATTAACATGTCACAAAAAAGCAACTTTGATTTTTATTTAATAGATTTGCCCACATAAAATGTCTTCTATTGAATACAAAGCTATAGACTACTGGCATAACTGATAACACATCAACATAATACATTTAAAAATATTTGACACCATGCATTAATACATCTTGGTAAAAACTGTCAGTTACATCGCTGTCAACTACTATTTAGTGTTTAACTGTCTATGAGACAGGCGTTTTATAATTCACATCTCTGCTTTCAACAGCTATGTGCATACACTCATGAATCTGCATTTATTTTTGCAATGTGAATTTTTGTCCCCAATTATCTAAAGCTAAGGGTTGATAACTATGAAATCCCATGTAACGAGGACTTACCATGTAGGTGTGATGAACGTTTACACACAGTGTTTGAGGAAGATTTATATTGCACTGTTTTAATTATATGAGATATCTACATATACTGCATACATGTATGACACACACGTGGAGACAACAACACCCTTGAATCTACGATGAAATTCTTGGTATATTCCATATTCTTCACCAGGTTAAATAAACTGCACTTTGTAACATAGTTTGACAGTTTTAAGAGTAAGTACTAAAAAATAAATAATATATATAATTATGTTGCTAAAGCAAATAAATATTGTAAGTGTAATGTAATTTTCTAAACATACAAATATATATATCAAGATTATTGAATTAGGTCAGGTAATAGAGCCAGCGTCAGGTAAAAGTCAGGTAATAGAGCCAGCGTCAGGTAATAGAGCCAGCATCAGTTAATAGAGCCAGCATCAGGTAATAGAGCCAGTGTCAGGTAATAGAGCCAGTGTCAGGTAACAGAGCCAGCATCAGGAAATAGAGCCAGCGTCAGGGAAAAGTCAGGTAATAGAGTCAGCATCAGGTAATGGAGCCAAAGTCGGGTAATAGAGTCAGTATCAGGTAATAGAGCAAGTGTCAGGTAATAGGGCCAGTGTCAGGTAACAGAGCCAGCATCAGGGAATAGAGCCAGCAGCAGGTAATAGAGCCAGAATCAGGTAATAGAGCCGGTGTCAGGTAATAGAGCTAGTGTCAGGTAATAGGGCCAGCGTCAGGTAAAAGACAGGTAATAGAGCCAGCAGCAGGTAATAGAGCCAGTGTCAGGTAACAGAGCCAGCATCAGGTAATAGAGCTAACGTCAGGTAATAGAGACAGAATCAGGTAATAGAGCCAGCATCAGGCAATAGAGTCAGTGTCAGGTAATAGAGCCAGCGTCAGGTAATAGAGTCAGTGTCAGGTAATAGAGCCAGCGTCAGGTAATAGAGCCAGCATCAGTTAATAGAGCCAGCATCAGGTAATAGAGCCAGTGTCAGGTAATAGAGTCAGCATCAGGTAATAGAGCCAGCATCAGGTAATAGAGCCAGCGTCAGGTAATAGAGCCAGTGTCAGGTAATAGATCCAGTGTCAGGTAATAGAGCCAGTGTCAGGTAATAGAGCCAGTGTCAGGTAATAGTCAGTGTCAGGTAATAGAGCCAGCATCAGGCAATAGAGCCAGCGTCAGGTAATAGAGCCAGCAGCAGGTAATAGAGCCAGTGTCAGGTAATAGAGCCAGTGTCAGGCAATAGAGCCAGTGTCAGGTAATGGAGCCAAAGTCAGGTAATAGAGTCAGTGTCAGGTAATAGAGCCAGTGTCAGGTAATAGAGCTAACATCAGGTAATAGAGTCAGTGTCAGGTAATAGAGCCAGTGTAAGGTAATAGAGCCAGTGTCATGTAATAGAGCCAGCCAGGTAATAGAGCCAGTGTCAGGCAATAGAGCCAGTGTCAGGTAATAGAGCAAGTGTCAGGTAATAGAGCCAGCATCAGGTAATAGAGCTAATGTCAGGTAATAGAGCTAATGTCAGGTAATAGAGCCAGTGTCAGGTAATAGAGCCAGTGTCAGTTAATAGAGCTAACATCAGGTAATAGAGTCAGTGTCAGGTAATAGAGCTAATGTCAGGTAACAGAACCAGTGTCAGGTAATAGAGCTAATGTCAGGTAATAGAGCTAATGTCAGGTAATAGATCCAGTGTCAGGTAATAGAGCCAGTGTCAGGTAATAGATCCAGTGTCAGGCAATAGAGCCAGCATCAGGTAATAGAGCCAGTGTCAGGGAATAGAGCCAGTGTTAGGTAATAGAGCCAGTGTCAGGGAATAGAGCCAGTGTTAGGTAATAGAGCCAGTGTTAGTTAATAGAGCCAGTGTCAGGTAATAGAGCCAGTGTTAGGGAATAGTGCCAGTGTTAGGTAATAGAGCCAGTGTCGGGTAATAGAGCCAGTGTCAGGTAATAGAGCCAGTGTCAAGCAATAGAGCCAGCATCAGGTAATAGAGCCAGTGTCAGGTAATAGAGCCAGTGTTAGGTAATAGAGCCAGTGTTAGGTAATAGAGCCAGTGTCAGGTAATAGAGCCAGTGTCAGGCAATAGAGCCAGCATCAGGTAATAGAGCCAGTGTCAGGTAATAAAGCCAGTGTCAGGTAATAGAGCCAGTGTTAGGTAATAGCGCCAGTGTCAGGCATGTATTTGTATGGCATCTGTCATGAAAGTGAACAAGTAACTCATAAGCATTATGCGTATAAAAATGTACAAATACAGAAAGTCATTGTATCAAGCCAAGCTAGACACAAAGAAATATAAAAACATTGGTGGGTGGGGTATATAGGTTAAAAAGTCAGCAAAATGGGATACAGTTGACGGGCAATTATAGCGTAATCGGTTAAAATTCTCTGAAAAGCTAAGTACATTTTATGAAAGTGAAGATTTTGATTTGAACTAAATCACAAAATAGCAATATCACAGTAGTGTAAATCATTGAGGTCAAATGTATTACAATGAATACCAAATACAGCGATTTCCCTGGAGTGTGGAATGTGTCGTACATCATACGGCCAATATCACACGCACAGATGACAAAATCAAGGATGAATGGTAATGGAAAAACAACCCTGAAGATTAAAAAATGGTCCAAAATGTTTCATAAGCGTATTTAGTATGCACACACAATCTTTGTAATTGTTGAATATGCATGTATGTTCAATAAATGATACAATGTAGTATAAATGTACATCCATATAACGGTATATGTACGTTAAAAAGGACCCCCTGTGGTTGAAGTGACTATTAAGATTTGTCTTCTCTGAAGATACAATAACACCCAATCTTGCCATTGTTAACTTGATATACCTGCTTTCCTTAATCACAGGTATAAGTACGTATATGTGACCTGTGTTGATGTATATATGTATTCAACAAACATATCGCCCAAATACATAAACTGAAAGGAAAAGATGTAAAACAAGAGGCCCCATAGGCCTGGATATAGCTCACCAAATTATTATCCATGTATTTTCAATCAATAACTAGTTTACTTCATGACAATATGACCAAGATGTAAAACAGGAGGCCCCATGGGCCTGGAAAGCTCAACTGATTTTTATCCATGTATTTTTAAACANTAGTTAGTTTAAGTAACAGAGAGCAGCCCCTAAGAATGCCAAAAGATAACTAATATAACCTGAACAAGTTACTTTAAATTTAGACTCAATAAATTTTTGAACTTTAATTCTTTGTTTTGTTGTGTATAAACTATGAATGTGCACAGTCCATTTATTCCAAATAGACAAGCAACACGCCTAGTATCATTACTCTAAATGCACATTGTGGTTCTTTAGCAGCAGTTATTTAACATACATTTTTCATGCTTTTGACCCCAGTGACCTTGAATGTTTTTCAAGATCATCTATTTGAACAAAGTCAATAGCATTTCATTCCAGGAAACTCAATGCCAAATATCATACTGTAGGACTTATGCTTTTCCAGATGATGGCTAAGTTGACAATGGAAGGACACACAAATGGCTCAACATTGTTATGCTCACCATAATGTTTTGCAGGGTGAGCTAAAAATGTATATGATTTACCATTTACATACAATTGTAGTTCTTTTCTGTAACTTTTAATTAGAAATGTGTACAGTCTCCTTCCTTAAACACAGCTCCTATGTTATATAGCAGCACTTGTCACACCCAGCACCAGGTTTTCTTGATAAAAAGATCCTACTTGTGCAGAGTAAAAGCCACCTCCTTTTGTAACAGTTACCCTTCTTGTGTCAAGTAATATCCATCAACAGCTGTAACAGTTACTCTACTTGTGTTGTTCAACAGTATCAAACATGATTCTAGAACTGGAATCTAGCACATGATGCGATTAGAAGTGGTATTAAGTGAAATAGATCACATGTGGAATCTAAAGGATCAGTTATCCCAATCTTGCATTGTTGTGCTTATTCTCGGTATCCTTCAAGTTGCTTTGGAAACTTCAAGTATTCTTGTTGTTGCTCCAGGTACCTTTGTTATTTTGGTAGCTGCAACCATCCTTATTGCCATGGTTACCCTGTAACATCGTCTACTTCCTATATCACACAAGTCCAAAGCCCTGAGAGCCTTCATTGATGGCTATCAATAAAGATCGGTGGAAATTGTCTATGGAGTCATAGTCCGGCAGACACAGAAGGTTGAAACTACAATGTGAAATATATATATATATTTTTACCGAAGCATAACTTCTGATTAGACCATCACTTCAACAGGAATAGTATACTTACAAAATATTTATATGTATTCACTTCAATGCTATTTTGGTCTGTGACAAAATGACTGAAAACATGCACTACTAAGTTCAATATTAATGCACATCTATTGAAAAAGTGTCTAATGAAAAATATTCATGCAACATACAATAAACCTTGTCTTTACTGACCACATCTCCTGACAGACCTTTTTTTACATACTCAGGAGAGTATATACTTTGTGACAAACCAATCCCACCTTATGGGACCAGTTTTATTAGCTGTAAGGGTGAAAGAATGCTAAGGAATTTCTATAGTGTTATTTGTGCTGTACATTGACATCTTTTGTCTGTGTTTATTAGATACAACAGTTACCACTTACCAGGTGTGTGCTGTCGGTAAGGTGTTGTAGGTGGGTGAGAATGATATTTGAAATTTCGGATTGAGCTCTGCGAAGCCTTGAGGAGGAAGCTGAGAACAACCTGTGGTGAACTGTAGCAGGCGGGCCATCTGTTCCTCTGTGAAGCTGGCAATTACTGTCCAGAACCAGTCCAGGACCTAAACACCACAAATTCATATCTTACCATTTTATAACACCCAATTAATCAGGTTTCCTTGATTTCCGTAACTCTTTATGACAAGCAATACCATCTGTATGTAAAGGAACCTATTATCATATTTATCAAAGTTATTTCAAACAAGGAATCACAAGTGATACAAATCCCCTTGCATTCACTGTCACATATTGTGATATATACAAGAGGAAATGAAGTCGCAAGAGCGATGAAGTTTTTTTCTAAAAATAGTAACAGTGACCTTGACCTTCAATGTAGAAACCGGAAATGCGAACTTGTTCAAAGCATTGTCATACCAAACACTTGTATGAAGTTTCATGAAATTCTGTTGAGGAATGAAGTCGCTAGATCTAGAGCGATGACAAAGAGTGTAAGGTTTACAATCTTATGTTCATTTAACAATGCTTGTCTAACATTACAGTTCCCGACCATTTAAAAATAATAAAACATATTAGAAGGCCTGGTACATCAATTACACAGGGTACATGATTAGTGTTTTCATTAATAAACAGTATTTTGATAGTTGTTTTATTTTGTTTTTATGATTAGTAAGTTGGTGTTCACTTAGACAATATGAAGACATTAGAATTATAAGGTAAAATAAGTAAACATGATACATGCCTTGTGTTTTCATTAATTAACAGCATTTCGATAAAATTGATGTGTAGAAAACTCTCAGCGGAATGCTGCCTTACCTTAAAGAAATGGTAGGAGGAGCCCTCTATCACAGCGTGAGCTTTGAAGTCTGTTATACTGTAGTTACCTGTACCACACATCAGCAGCTGTAACACCAAAGTAACAGTAACATACAAACATCACTAACAGTGACATTAACAGTGACAATGACAGTAACATACATCACTAACAATAACAGTGACATACATCACTAACAGTAACAGTGACATACAACACTAACAGTAACAGTGACATACATCACTAACAGTAACAGTAACAGTGACAATGACAGTAACATACATCACTAACAATAACAGTGACATACATCACTAACAGTAACAGTTACATACATCACTAACAGTGACAGTGACATACATCACTAACAGTAACAGTGACAGTGACATACATCACTAACAGTAACAGTAACAGTGACATACATCACTAACAGTAACAGTTACATACATCACTAACAGTGACAGTGACATACATCACTAACAGTAACAGTAACATACAAACATCACTAACAGTAACAGTAACAGTGACAATGACAGTAACATACATCACTAACAGTAACAGTGACATACATCACTAACAGTAACAGTGACAGTAACATACGTCACTAACAGTAACAGTAACATACATCACTAACAGTAACAGTGACATATATCACTAACAGTAACAGTGCCATACATCACTTACAGTGACAGTAACATACATCACTAACAGTGACAGTAACAGTGACATACATCACTAACAGTAACAGTTACATACATCACTAACAGTAACAGTGCCATACATCACTTACAGTAACAGTGACATACATCACTAACAGTAACAGTGACAGTAACATACATCACTAACAGTGACAGTGACATACATCACAGTAACATTATTTGATTCATCCCATATGCACCAACAGAACTACAACCTGATTACAGATAGGTTATCATGTATAAAGACATAACTACAACCTAATTACAGATAGGTTATCATGTATAAAGATAGAACTACAACTTGATTACAGATAGGTTATCATGTATAAAGACATTACTACAACCTGGTTACTGATATGTTATCATGTATAAAGACAGAACTACAACCTGATTACAGATAGGTTATTATGTATAAAGACAGAACTATGACCTGATTACAGATATGTTATCATGTATAAAGTACTTGGGGACTGGTTCATACTTTGTCACAGTCTACTTGTATCATCTAAATAAATCTCATTATTCTGAAATGTTTGTAGAAGCCCATATATCTAGTAAACTGCATTTGTATTGATGTAAAGATATTTATATTGTCATGACTTACCTCTAACTCATTCTCATCAAATATACTGAGGAGTGTGTCAGGAATAAGTACGTTGAGGCCCTTGAGGAAATGGTCTACCTCTTCCTTGACACTGCTGGTAAGTTTATACTGGGCAAGGCAGTTCAGGTAGTGCTGCTTGTTTTCATTGGTAACAGGTTTACTGCTGCCACTGGGAACCAAATCAACCAACTGTCACAAAAAAAAATAACATCTGTAAATTTACTGCTGCAACCAGAAACCAACCCAACCACATGTCACAGGAATAGCACCAATTAATCTCCTTGATCAGTGACTAACTGTAACTGTCAGTCAATCTGAGGACTTCTTCACTTTAACTGTCAATCAATCTCAGGACTTACTTGCTGTAGCTGTTGGTCAGTCTAAGGACTTACCCGCTGAAGCTGTCGGTCAGTCCAAGGATTTATTCACTGTAACTGTTGGTCAAATTCAGGAGTTACCCACTGTAGCTGGTTGTCAGTCTAAGGACTTACCCGCTGTAGCTGTTGGTTAGTCTGAGGATTTATTCACTGTAACTGTTGGTCAGTCTGGGGACTTACTCACTGTAACTGTTGGTCAGTCTAAGAACTTACCCGCTGTAACTGTTGGTAAGTCTCAGGACTTAACTTACCTGCTGTAGCTGGTGGTCAGTCTAAGGACTTACTCACTGTAACTGTTGGTCAGACTTAGAACTTACCCGCTGCAGCTGTCCGTCGAGGTACTCTTCCTCTGAGAATGTCAACTCCATGTCATCAATATCATTGTCTTCTATAAACCGAACCTTTGTTTTAAATAACTCAGGATCATCTGTTTCAAAGTACTAAAACAATAATAAAGAGAGTTACTATCTGTTACATGCATGGTAACCTCAGTAAGACATGTAACATACAGACGATAAATTAGTTTTCTGTGTTAAACCTGTTACTGTGCTACACCTGTTACTGTGCTACACCTGTTGCTGTGCTTAACATGTTACTGCCCTACACCTGTAGCTGTACTACACTTGTTACTGTGCTACAAGCTGTTGCTGTGCTACACCTGTTTCTGTGGTACATCTGTTACTGTACTAAACCTGTTACTGTACTACACTTGTTACTGTGCTACAACCTGTTGCTGTGCTACACCTGTGTCTGTGGTACACCTGTTACTGTGCTACACCTGTTACTGTTCTATTCCTGTTGCTGTGCTACACCTGTTTCTGTGGTACATCTGTTACTGCGCTACACCTGCTACTGTGCTACACCTGTAGCTGTGCTACACCTGTTACTTTGCTTCACTTGTTACTGTGCTACACCTGTTACTTTGCTATACCTGTTACTGTGCTTCACTTGTTACTGTGCTACAACCTGTTACTGTGCTACACCTGTTACTGTGTTTCACCTGTTACTGTGCTACACCTGTTACTGTTCTATTCCTGTTGCTGTGCTACACCTGTTTCTGTGGTACATCTGTTACTGCGCTACACCTGTTTCTGTGGTACATCTGTTACTGCGCTACACCTGCTACTGTGCTACAACCTGTTACTGTGCTACACCTGTTACTTTGCTATACCTGTCACTGTGCTACACCTGTCACTGTTACACCTGTTTCTGTGTTATACCTGTTACTCTTTTACACCTGTTACTGTGCTACATTTGTAACTGTGCTACATCTGTTACTGAGCTACACCTGTTACTGTGCGACACCTGTTTCTGTGCTACACCTGTTTCTGTGCTATGCCTGTTACTCTTCTACATCTGTTTCTGTGCTAAACCTGTTTCTGTGCTACACCTGTAACTGTGCTACACCTGTTACTGTGCTACACCTGTTTCTGTGCTACACCTGTTACTGTGCTACACCTGTTACTGTGCTACACCTGTTACTCTAGTGCTACACCTGTTTCTGTGCTACATCTGTTACTGAGCTACACCTGTTTCTGTGCTACAACTGTTACTGTGCTACACTTGTTACTGTGCTACACCTGATCCTGTGCTACACTTGTTACTGTGCTATATCTGTTACTGCGCTACACTTGTTACTGTGCTACATCTGTCACTGTGCTACATCTGTTACTGAGCTTCACCTGTTTCTTTGCTACACCTGTAACTGTGCTACACCTGTTACTGTGCCCTGACCATCTGCACATCATAGCAAGTATACCGCGAGTATGTTGATGCCATTGGTTGTGGGGTGTTACACTTAAAATATTTTTTATTTTTTATTTTATAATAATTAAAAACAAGTCAACTGTTATCCATTACTGAGTATTCTTGTTGGCCTAAGTGGAACTATACAGAGATGTTAATTTTGTAGGAAACTGAAGTACCCAGAAAAAATCCATCGTCAGGCAGGTGACCCAACATTTTTTCGCATCTGATTGGGGAATCAAACCCTTGCTGTCTTGATGAAAGGCGAGCAAGTCTTTATTTGATAAAAAAGCAATAGAAATACATCTGGAAAAGTAAAATTGTCATATAATTTTGATATGCCCCAACTCATCATTGTCTGCTTAATAAAATCATGTGACTGACATGTGGTCTGGTTCATCCAGCTATTCTACAGGCAATGTAATGTATCGTGTCTTTATATGATTTTTCTGTGAATTTCCTTCTATAAGCATTTTGTTATGATTAAAATATGTCACAGATACATCTATTAAAAATATTTGTAAAACACTTTCTTCTGAGGTTTCCTTTTATTGGACCATAGCAGTATCACAGTATATCCAATGTGTGTTAGAAACAGATGGCCACAGAAACTGGTAATGTAAAGGTATCGTTCAACAATGAAGACTTATCAGTTGAAGTTGAAGGCTAAACATTGTTGATAAACAATTTACAGTATACTGTTGTTAAATCATGGTCTAATGATTTTTTTTAGCAAATTCCACCTTATGGGCTCAAAATCTGGTCCCTGGATACTACATATCATAAAGGGTCTCGCTTAAAGCATTGCAATATCTAGAGTTTAAAACATTTATGTGAAATCAAGAGTGATAAATATAATAAATTCCTCTTCAAATGAGACTGCTGATCAAAAACGTTTTTTTAAATAGAACTCCAATACATGTTTGACCAGTCACCTGACACCACTGACCTTGTAATTGACCTGTAGGCCTATGAGTTGGGCGAGGAATGACCGTGATAATCTGGCCTTGACAAGCTGTCTGTAGGCACTACCCAGGGCTGAGTCATATAAACACTTGCCCACCACTTTCCCAGCAAACTCATAGTACTTTAGCTTCAGTTCCTGTTTCCTCCGACTTGAAGGTGTTGGATGGACCTAAGGGAGATAATCCAAAGTCTACAGTGCCCAACAGTGTCGACATTAACAATGTACAGTGTGGTCACACACGACAGAGAATAACATTTACACTTACTTGTTTCTACAAAAAAATATCTTCAAGATTTACAGAAAGATTACAAAGAACAGCGATAATGGCAATAATCTCTGTATGTAATTTATCACAATAAATACCTAGTTTTGGAAAGATTTTTTGATATGTACACTGTCACCTTCATCAGACAAATGACCAGTGAAGCGTATGAACAAATACAACTGAAACCACTTCCAAACTGACAATAATGGATTGATTTTCAAACCATTTTGGTACAATATGTTTTGAGCATATTAAATTGTGTACATGTAACATTAAATCTATACAAAATTAACTAACTTTATTGTTATCTTGCTTATGAGCCCAATAAAGTATTAGGCAATGAAATTGTATAGCGGTAGGTTAGTTATAAAGAATTTTACTGACCAGGCCTTGGGAGTCTTCTGTAAACCTTGTGTACATTCCTGATCTGGACGGGTCAAACAATTCGGTACACAACATCTCAAACCACTCCCTCCGAAGTCCACCCCAGTCTAAACCTACAGGTACAAACATAACATGTATACAACATCTCAAACCCCTCCCTCACCAGTCTACCCCAATCTTACCCTACAGGTACAAACATAACATGTATACAACATCTCAAACCACTCCTTCCTCAGTCTACCCCAGTCCAACCCTACAGGTACAAACACAACATGTATACAACATCTCAAACCCCTCCCTCCCCAGTCTACCCCAGTCCAACCCTACAGGTACAAACACAACATGTACACAACATCTCAAACCCCTCCCTCCCCAGTCTACCCCAGTCCAACCCTACAGGTACAAACACAACATGTACACAACATCTCAAACCCCTCCCTCCCCAGTCTACCCCAGTCCAACCCTACAGGTACAAACACAACATGTACACAACATCTCAAACCCCTCCCTCCCCAGTCTACCCCAGTCCAACCCTACAGGTACAAACACAACATGTACACAACATCTCAAACCCCTCCCTCCCCAGTCTACCCCAGTCCAACCCTACAGGTACAAACACAACATGTACACAACATCTCAAACCCCTCCCTCCCCAGTCTACCCCAGTCCAACCCTACAGGTACAAACACAACATGTACACAACATCTCAAACCCCTCCCTCCCCAGTCTACCCCAGTCCAACCCTACAGGTACAAACACAACATGTACACAACATCTCAAACCCCTCCCTCCCCAGTCTACCCCAGTCCAACCCTACAGGTACAAACACAACATGTACACAACATCTCAAACCCCTCCCTCCCCAGTCTACCCCAGTCCAACCCTACAGGTACAAACACAACATGTACACAACATCTCAAACCCCTCCCTCCCCAGTCTACCCCAGTCCAACCCTACAGGTACAAACACAACATGTACACAACATCTCAAACCCCTCCCTCCCCAGTCTACCCCAGTCCAACCCTACAGGTACAAACACAACATGTACACAACATCTCAAACCCCTCTCTCCCTAGTCTACCCCAGTCCAACCCTACAGGTACAAACACAACATGTACACAACATCTCAAACCCCTCCCTCCCCAGTCCAACCCAGTCCAACCCTACAGGTACAAGCACAACAAGTCTTCATCATATTTACAAAGATTGCCCTTTACATTCTTTGATCTTTATTTTCTTAACTGGTACTTTTACTCAGTTCCATGTTGGAAATCCTAAAGTAAATCTGGTACATTAACTGACACCTTGTAATGTAATATGTTATTTGCCACATTATTTTGTAAATCTTACATAATTGAAGTATGGATGAATTCTCATTAGGGCCAGGGGTATTTTTAACAATGTGATCTATGGGAATATACATATCAAATACCTTGTAGTGATAACACCATTAAACTCTCAACATTCAAGATGGCTGTCTGGTAGCCATCATGTTCTTACGATCGGTCCCTTAACTTGATATGCATAAGTAGGGACCAATGGGAAACTTCATGCAAAACTTGAGAAAGATCCCTCCAGTACTTTCTGAGAAATAGTGCTAAAATCTTTAACTCTCAAAATCCAAGATGACTGCCTTTTGGCCATCATGTTTTCCCGTTTGTCCAGTACTTCTGAGAAATAGCGCTAACAATAAATGTTTAAAGATGGATGGATTGACACACCACAGACAACGGGCAAAGAGCAAAAAACAGCAGGTGTTTATGATATGTGTATTAATGTAATATATATTGCACAATGACCATGTTAACTGAGATCAACATAACACTGCTGTTAATGTTTACTATACTGAGATCAACATAACACTGCTGTTAACGTTTACTATACTGTGATCAACATAACACTGCTGTTAACATTAACTATACTGATATCAACATAACACTGCTGTTAACGTTTATACTGAGATCAACATAACACTGCTGTTAACGTTTACTATACTGAGATCAACATAACACTGCTGTTAATGTTTACTATACTGAGATCAACATAACAATGCTGTTAACGTTTATACTGAGATCAACATAACACTGCTGTTAACGTTTACTATACTGAGATCAAGATAACACCGCTGTTAACGTTTACTATACTGTGATCCATATAACACTGCTGTTAACGTTTACTATACTGAGATCAACATAACACTGCTATTAACGTTTACTATACTGTGATCAACATAACACTGCTGTTAACATTAACTATACTGATATCAACATAACACTGCTGTTAACGTTTACTATACTGAGATCAACATAAAACTGCTTTTAACGTTTACAAGGTTTGCTTTCATATCAATTGCTTACCTGGCTCACCAACAAAAACAATATTAAAAGTCTTGTACCAGTCAGATGTGTCAAAGTTTTTTGTTGCTTTGAAGGACTGAAAATAGAAAATTGTAAAATTACAAATTACATCTAAATATATAGTCAATAAATCTGATTACTAGTACTAACTCTCAGATCAATTATGTCATTAGAAATGATCTATACTACATTATAAAATTATGTGACCTTTCTACATTTGTTGTTAAACTTATATCTAAACAGGAAGTTGATCTCTCGATCTGCTTCCCTTAAACAGGAAGTTGATCTCTGATTCTACTTCCTCTAAACAGGAAGTTGATCTCTCAATTTACTTCCGCTGAACAGGAAGCTGATCTCTCAATTTACTTCCGCTGAACAGGAAATTTATCTCTCAATCTACTTCCCTTAAACAGGAAGCTGACCTCTCACTCTTCTTCCCCTGAACAGTAAGTTGATCTCTCAATCTACATCCCCTGAACAGGAAGCTGATCTCTCAACCTTTTCCCCATGAACAGGAAGTTGATCTTTCAATCTACTTCCCCTAAGCAGGAAGCTGATCTTCAATCTACTTCCCTTAAACAGGAAGTTGATCTCCTTATCTTCTTCCTTTAAAAAGGAACTTTATCTCTCAATCTACTTCCCTTAAACAGGAAGCTGATCTCTCACTCTTCTTCCCCTGAACAGGAAGTTGATCTCTCAATCTACATCCTCTGAACAGGAAGCTGATCTCTCAATCTATTTCCCCTGAACAGGAAGTTGATCTCTCAATCTACTTCCCCTAAGAAGGAAGTTGATCTTCAATCTACTTCCCTTAAACAGTAAGTTGATCTCTAAATGTTCTTCCTCTAAACAGGACGTTGATCTCTCAATCAACTTTCTTTTACAGGAAGATGATCCCTAAATCTTCTTTCTCTAAACAGGAAGGTGATCTCTCAATCTACTTCCCTTCAACAGGAAGTTGATCCCTAAATCTTCTTTCTCTAAACAGGAAGGTGATCTCTCAATCTACTTCCCTTAAACAGGAAGTTGATCTCTCAATTTTCTTCCTCTAAACAGGAAGTTGATCTCTTACTCTACTTTCACTAAAAGGAAGTTGATGTCTTGGTCCACTTAACAGGAGGTTACTCCCTTTCTATACTATCAGTATACAGGATGTTGGCTTTCCTCTCTCTCTACTCCAACTATATATGAAGTGGATTTTACAGTCTTCTGACACTATACATGAAGTGTATTTCTCAGTCTCCATACACTATACATTAAGTGGATTTTACAGTCTCCTTACACTATACATGAAGTGGATTTTACAGTCTCTCTACACTATACATGAAGTGGATTTTACAGTCTCTCTACACTATACATGAAATCGATTTTACAGTCTCCATACACTATACATGAAGTGTATTTCTCAGTCTCCATACACTATACATTAAGTGGATTTTACAGTCTTCTTACACTATACATGAAGTGAATTTCTCAGTCTCCTTACACTATACATTAAGTGGATTTTACAGTCTCCTTACGCTATACATGAAGTGGATTTTACAGTCTCTCTACACTATACATGAAGTTGATTTTACAGTCTCTCTACACTATACATGAATTGGATTTTACAGTCTCTCTACACTATACATGAAGTCGATTTTACAGTCTCTCTACACTATACATGAAGTCGATTTTACAGTCTCTCTACACTATACATGAATTGGATTTTACAGTCTCTCTACACTATACATGAAGTTGATTTTACAGTCTCTCTACACTATACATGAAGTGAATTTCTCAGTCTCCTTACACTATACATGAAGTCGACTTCTCAACCTAATTACACTACATACACTAAACAGGATATTTTTTCATCGTTCTTACCATAAATAGAAAATTGACCAATTACTCTTCCCCTGCTATAATAGAAGTAGATTTGTTACTTTAGTTCTGTGATGTATGAAGTTGAGCTCCATTCTGTACTTACACTATATAGGAAGTTTGAACGATCTATTTTTAGAGTGACATTTCCTCTTTTCTGTAGTTTCCTCACTTCTTGGACAAAGTATGTGTGTTTATCTTGGAATGTTTCAGAACCACCTACAGAAATGAAAATATCAAAAACAGGTTAAGGACCACAGGTTTTATAAATGTTCTCTATGTTATTCAGGCTTTCATGGCTTACTTTTACACTAAAGTAATCATTTTAAACAGACTCGATAAACACTGGATTGGTCAGGTCATATACTTACAGAGCTAACACACTTTGTTTAACAGTCGTGTGATGTCCATTACTAACCTATGTATATATATGTGAAAAATATATGAGTCTGATGCAGAAGAATATACAGTATTTTAGTGTTTTACTGTATCAAAAAATAAATTAAACTGAACTGAATAAGTGGCTTATCAACAAATAGTGTTCCAATACTTGACGACCACTCTGAATGAGGGCGAGTCCAAAGCCTCATCATATACGTGATGTAGCTGTGAATTCTCCACAAACATTTAAGGAGCACTTGATAAAAGGTAAAGCAAGGATCTGTTCCACATAATTTGCAACAAGGGCATGGTATTATACAAATGTAGTGACATATACCTATGAATTCAAAGCACAGGAAGTTACAACATAAATATGTCCATCACCTATATTTCTGAGTAAGAAGTTGGTGAATGTAGCGGCTATAACACTCCGTTCCTTGGCAGCCAGGACAAGAGGAGGCTGACAGCAGTCGTAGATCGTCATCACAGGTAGGTCATATCTAGCATTGTGTCCACTAAAGTAAAACTAAAAACAAACAGCTTTCTTAATCACCAAGTAACACAATATTGATATCCCAAAACTTTCTTGATTAGCAAATAAAACAATAATGTCAGTCCAAAACATTCGTAATAAGTAAGTAACACAATATTGATATCCCAAAACTTTCGTTATTAGCAAATAAAACAATAATGTCATCCCAAAACTTTCGTAATTAGCAAGTAACATAATATTTTTTTCTAAAACATTATCACAACTACTGTGGAAGAAAGCAACAGAACCAATTATTTGTAATTTGGTTATTTTTGATATAAAGTATACCCATCAGTTGTTCAGAAACAAGCGTTAGAGTATATCTGTGACATCGTATCTCTGGCTTACCTTTGTTGATGGACAAACTCGCCAGGTAAATAATTTCTTGCCAATTATTTTCAGGTAGTACTCTTTTAACGTTAGTTGCTGTAAAAACAATAACTAAGCGTTAGATATGAGATGACATTCAGAAATGGGCCAGATAAATATATACACTGTATAACTTATGAAATCAGGACATGGGACAGATTGATTTAACACTTATGATATCTGAACACAGACAAGAAAAAAACATTATTTATGAGAGCAAAAAGAAACAAGACATAAGGCCAAAATGTGATTAAACACTCTCCTATAGCTATATATGTCTACCTCAAACATCCTGTTGATGGCTTTTTGGTGAGATATATCAAGATATATCTCTTGACTTTTTTTTCTAGAAAACTTTATTTGTTTTAGAAGATTTCTATACCTTAGGAAAGATGTATTTTTCATTTTTCAAGGGAAATCAAATGTTTGCCTTCTAGTGGATTGAAAAATATTTACCAGTAAATGTTTGACCCTGTGAGACAATTTAGTAGAGCATTTGACTTTGTGAGATGCATTTCACTTTATGTTTCGCTTTCTGAGCTTATTATTTGTTTGATTGTATTTAGATATGATTGAATTTGTGAGAAATGATCACTTTGTGAGTTATGTATAGTGTCTTTTATTGTGATATAAATAGACTGTTTGACATTGTGATATAAATAGACTGGCTGACAATGTGTTATAAATAGACTGGCTGACAATGTGATATAAATAGACTGTTTGACAATGTAACATAAATAGACAGGCTGACAATGTGATATAAATAGACTGGTTGACAATGTGATATAAATAGACTAGCTGATTAACATTGTGATATAAATAGACTGATTGACAATGTGATATAAATAGACTAGCTGATTAAAAATTGTGATATAAATAGACTGTTTGACAATGTGATATAAATAGACTAACTGATTAAAAATTTGTGATATAAATAGTCTGGTTGACAATGTGATATAAATAGACTGGTTGACAATGTGATATGAATAGACTGATTGACAATGTGATATAAATAGACTAGCTGATTAACATTGTGATATAAATAGACTGTTTGACAATGTGATCTAAATAGACTAACTGATTAACATTGTGATATAAATAGACTTATTGACAATGTGATATAAATAGACTAACTGATTAAGATTGTGATATAAATAGACTGTTTGACAATTTGTTATAAATAGACCAACTGATTAACATTGTGATATAAATAGACTGGCTGACCATGTGTTATCAATAGACTGGCTGACAATGTGATATAAATAGCCTAGCTGATTAACATTGTGATATAAATAGATTGTTTGACAATGTAACATAAATAGACTAGCTGATTAACATTGTGATATAAATAGACTGGCTGACAATGTGATATAAATAGACTAGCTGATTAACATTGTGATATAAATAGACTAACTGATTAACATTGTGATATAAATAGACTGTTTGACAATGTGATATAAATAGACTAGCTGATTAACATTGTGATAAAAATAGACTGGTAGACTATGTGATGTATGCAGAAAGTCTGAGGTAGGAATACAGACATTTTACCTTATCGATAGGAAGACTGTTTACCTTGGGAGATATGTAGACATACACTTTCTTTGCCTTTTCTTCAGAGGAAGGGCTGCCCTGGAGAAGTCGTGCCTCGTACCAGATGCTGTGGGTCTTGCGTGCCATGTTCTTGTTGACACAGGCCATATCCTCATCTATAGCACAATACTAATGTAACAATGGAAGCTAACCCACACACAACTACTGTAATCACAGCGGCAAGGTTTTTCATTAGCTTTTATTCTCGCACCATGCTTTTAACCTTCTCAGCGACGGCTTCCTATCAGAAATTCATTCATTTTATCTGCAATGACCTTGAATTTAAATTGGTTGTGTTAAGTTTAATGTTGCATTGTCCGTGAATCCTTCAAGTTACCATTGATGACATTTTCCTGGTTAAGGCAGTAATACAGCCAACAGCAATTCTAAGGTAGATTTCATGTTAACATACAAATAAAGTATGAAGGAGTTCATATAGATATACCCCATCCCCAAACACCTCCCCAATGTGGTCAAGTGTGACCTTTGACCTTTAACATTGATCAATGACCACAAAAATCAAATTTAAACACGGGGTAGGTGTAAATATTATCATTCTATGGCATTTTATATTAACTTTATCTGTTGATATATTGAGATGTTGTACACAAGCTTTTTACTTGGAGGTCAAGTTTACCATGCTATGGCATGACAATAAACCATGTACCAGGACACACAGGCGCATTAGCAAAGCAAAAAGTGTATACCACATATCAAATAAGTGGGGATATAAAGTAATAATGATATTTTTCATCGTAAATCATAGAAATTTATAAACTCAATCTTTTTGTAAGTAAATTTCATGTTAGAAATGTATCACACTGTTGTTTAAGTTATCTGAACTTAATGCAGGGAATTGTAGTCTGAGCTGAATAATATTAATTTCAGATTTATCTCTGATAACACAAAACTTATTAAACAAGAAAATTATAAAAATAAATTAAGCAATTACGAACTATCTTATATCCTAGTACATGTACATGAATTGGGTAAATTTAAAGATCTATTTCAAAACAATTATTTCCTTGATTTTGTAAGCATAAGTTAACTTACTGCTTATGACAAGAATATTAAAATCTCCATTCCTCAACTTCATGTCGCCATAGGACACCGAGGCTTGGTAGCACCCTTCCCTTGCCATGGTAATCCGCATATTTAGCTGTTTTTTTTCTGGCATGTTGACCAGTTGTGTGGCAGGCACATATTTGGTTTGACTCTCTGTCTGTAACATAGCAATGCATATCAATATAAAATGTCTAACACTCAACATTACTGTAGTCTCTCTAAAGTCTGTAACATATCAATATAAAATGTCTAACACCCAACATTACCCTAGTCTCTCTAAAGTCTGTAACATAGCAATATAAAATGTCTAACACTCAACATTACCGTAGTCTCTCTAAAGCCCCCACTTTACCACAGAGGGCCCCCATTCTACCATAGTGAGTCGCCACTCTACCACAGTGAGTCCCCACTCTACCACAGTGATTCACCACTCAACCATAGTGAGTCCCCACTCTACCACAGTGAGTCACCACTCTACCACAGTGTGTCCCCACTCTACCACAATGTGTTCCCACTCTACCCTAACACCCAACATTACCGTAGTCCTCCTAAAGTCCTTAACATAGCAATATAAAATGTCTAACACTCAACATTACTGTAGTCTCTCTAAAGTCTGGAACACATCAGTATATCATTTCAAACACCCAACATTACTGTAGTCTCTCTAAAGTCTGTAACATATCAGTATATAATTTCTAACACCCAACATTCCTGTAGTCTCTCTAAAGTCTGTAACATATCAATATAAAATGTCTAACTCCCAACATTACCGTAGTCTATCTAAAGTCTGTAACATAGCAATACAAAATGTCTAACACCCAACGTTACCGTAGTCTCTCTAAACTCTGTAACACATTAGTATAGCTTTTCTAACACCCAACATTACCCTAGTCTCTCTAAAGTCTGTAACATATCAGTATATCATTTCTAACACACAACATTACTGTAGTCTCTCTAAAGTATGTAACATATCAGCATATCATTTCTAACACCCAACATTACCCTAGTCTCTCTAAAGTCTGTAACATATCAATATAAAATGTCTAACACCCAACGTTACCGTAGTCTCTCTAAAGTCCCCACTTTACCACAGAGGGCCCCCATTCTACCATAGTGAGTCACCACTCTACCACAGTGTGTTCCCACTCTACCATAGTGTGTCGCCACTCTACCATAGTGAGTCCCCACTTCTGGCATGTTGACCAGTTGCGTGGCAGGCACATATTTGGGTTGACTCTCTGTCTGTAACATAGCAATGCATATCAATATAAAATGTCTAACACCCAACATTACCATAGTCTCTCTAAAGTCTGTAACATATCAATATAAAATGTCTAACTCTCAACATTACTGTAGTCTCTCTAAAGTCTGTAACACATCAGAATATCATTTCTAACACCCAATATTACCGTAGTCTCTCTAAAGCCCCCACTTTACCACAGAGGGCCCCCATTCTACCATAGTGAGTCACACACCCAACATTACCGTAGTCTATCTAAAGTCTGTAACATAGCAATATAAAATGTTTAACACCCAACATTACCCTAGTCTCTCTAAAGTCTGTAACATTGCAATATAAAATGTCTAACACTCAACATTACTGTAGTCTCTCTACAGTCTATAACACATCAGTATATCATTTCCAACACCCAACATTACCGTAGTCCTCCTAAAGTCCTTAACATAGCAATATAAAATGTTTAACACCCAACATTACCCTAGTCTCTCTAAAGTCTGTAACATAGCAATACAAAATGTCTAACACCCAACATTACCATAGTCTCTCTAAAGTCTGTAACATATCAGTATATCATTTCTAACACCCACCATTACCGTAGTCTCTCTATAGTCTGTAACACATTAGTATAGCTTTTCTAACACCCAACATTACCATAGTCTCTCTAAAGTCTGTAACATATCAGTATATAATTTCTAACACCCAACATTACCGTAGTCTCTCTAAAGTCCCCACTTTACCACAGAGGGTCCCCATTCTACCATAGTGAGTCACCACTCTACCACAGTGAGTCTCCACTCTACCATAGTGTGTCCCCACTCTACCATAGTGAGTCCCCACTCTAAGTGAGTTCCCACTCTACCATAGTGAGTCCCCACTCTACCACAGTGTGTCCCCCCTCTACCATAGTGAGTCCCCACTCTAAGTGAGTACCCACTCTACCATAGTGTGTTCCCACTCTACCACAGTGAGTTCCCACTCTACAATAGTGAGTCCCCACTCTAAGTGCGTCCCCACTCTACCAAGTCTCTCTAAAGTCCCCACTTTACCACAGAGGGTCCCCATTCTACCATAGTGAGTCACCGCTCTACCACAGTGAGTCTCCACTCTACCATAGTGTGTCCCCACTCTACCATAGTGACTCCCCACTCTACCACAGTGTGTCCCCACTCTACCATAGTGTGTCCCCAATCTACCATAGTGTGTTCCCACTCTACCATAGTGTGTTCCCACTCTACCACAGTGAGTTCCCACTCTACAATAGTGAGTCCCCACTCTAAGTGCGTCCCCACTCTACCATAGTGTGTTCCCACTCTACCATAGGGAGTCCCCACTCTACCACAGTGAGTCCCCACTCTACCATACTGAGTCCCCACTCTAAGTGAGTTCCCACTCTACCATAGTGAGTCCCCACTCTAAGTGAGTACCCACTCTACCATAGTGTGTCCCCACTCTACCATAGTGTGTTCCCACTCTACCACAGTGTGTCCCCACTCTACCATAGTGTGTCCCCAATCTACCATAGTGTGTTCCCACTCTACCATAGTGTGTTCCCACTCTACCATAGTGTGTTCCCACTCTAACACAGTGAGTCCCCACTCTACCACAGTGTGTTCCCTCTCTACCACAGTGTGTTCCCACTCTACCATAGTGAGTACCCACTCTACCATAGTGAGTCCCCACTCTACCATAGTGTGTTCCCACTCTACCACAGTGTGTCCCCACTCTACCATAGTGTGTCCCCAATCTACCATAGTGTGTTCCCACTCTACCATAGTGTGTCCCCACTCTACCATAGTGTGTTCCCACTCTACCACAGTGAGTTCCCACTCTACCACAGTGTGTTCCCACTCTACAATAGTGAGTCCCCACTCTAAGTGAGTACCCACTCTACCATAGTGTGTTCCCACTCTACCACAGTGAGTTCCCACTCTACAATAGTGAGTCCCCACTCTAAGTGAGTACCCACTCTACCATAGTGTGTTCCCACTCTACCACAGTGAGTCACCACTCTACCACAGTGTGTCCCCACTCTACCATAGTGTGTCCCCAATCTACCATAGTGTGTTCCCACTCTACCATAGTGTGTTCCCACTCTACCATAGGGAGTCCCCACTCTACCACAGTGAGTCCCCACTCTACCACAGTGTGTTCCCTCTCTACCACAGTGTGTTCCCACTCTACCACAGTGTGTTCCAACTCTACCATAGTGAGTCCCGTAACACATCAATATATCATTTCTAACACCCAACGTTACCGTAGTCTCTCTAAAGTCTATAACACATCAGTATATCATTTCTAACCCCCAACATTACCGTAGTCTCTCTAAAGTCTGTAACACATCAGCATATCATTTCTAACCCCCAACATTACCGTAGTCTCTCTAAAGTCTGTAACACATCAGCATATCATTTCTAACCCCCAACATTACCGTAGTCTCTCTAAAGTCTGTAACACATCAGCATATCATTTCTAACACCCAACATTACCGTAGTCTCTCTAAAGTTCCCACTTTACCACAGAGGGTCCCCATTCTACCATAGTGAGTCACCGCTCTACCACAGTGAGTCTCCACTCTACCATAGTGTGTCCCCACTCTACCATAGTGACTCCCCACTCTACCACAGTGTGTCCCCACTCTACCACAGTGTGTCCCCCCTCTACCATAGTGAGTCCCCACTCTAAGTGAGTTCCCACTCTACCATAGTGAGTCCCCACTCTACCACAGTGAGTCCCCACTCTACCATACTGAGTCCCCACTCTAAGTGAGTTCCCACTCTACCATAGTGAGTCCCCACTCTACCATAGTGAGTCCCCACTATACCACAGTGTGTTCCCTCTCTACCATAGTTTGTACCCACTCTAACAAAGTGAGTCCCCACTCTAACACTGTGAGTCCCCACTATACCACAGTGTGTTCCCTCTCTACCATAGTGAGTCCCCACTCTAAGTGTGTACCCACTCTACCATAGTGTGTCCCCACTCTACCATAGTGTGTTCCCACTCTACCACAGTGTGTCCCCACTCTACCACAATGTGTTCCCACTCTACCACGGTGTGTTCCCACTCTACAATAGTGAGTCCCCACTCTAAGTGGTCCCCACTCTACCATAGTGTGTTCCCACTCTACCATAGTGTGTTCCCACTCTACCATAGTGAGTCCCCACTCTAAGTGTGTACCCACTCTAAGGGAGTGAGTCCCCACTCTACCATAGTGATTCCCCACTCTAAGTGAGTACCCACTCTACCATAGTGTGTTCCCACTCTACCATAGTGTGTTCCCACTCTACCATAGTGTGTTCCCCCTCTACCAAAGTGAGTCCCCACTCTACCACAGTGTGTTCCCACTCTACCACAGTGTGTTCCAACTCTCCCATAGTGAGTCCCCACTCTAAGTGAGTCCCCACTCTAAGTGTGTACCCACTCTAAGTGTGTCCCCACTCTAAGGGAGGTTGTCCCCACTCTACCATAGTTTGTACCCACTCTACCAAAGCGAGTCCCCACTCTACCATAGTGAGTCCCCACTCTAAGTGAGGCCCCACTCTAAGTGTGTACCCACTCTAAGTGTGCCCCCCCTCTAAGGGAGTTTGTCCCCACTCTACCATAGTTTGTCCCCACTCTACCAAAGTGAGTTCCCACTCTACCATAGTGAGTCCCCACTCTACCATAGATTGTACCCACTCTACCATAGTGAGTCCCCACTCTAAGTGTGTACCCACTCTACCATAGTGTGTCCCCACTCTACCACAGTGTGTCCCCACTCTACCACAATGTGTTCCCACTCTACCACAGTGTGTTCCCACTCTACCACAGTGTGTTCCAACTCTCCCATAGTGAGTCCCCACTCTAAGTGAGTCCCCACTCTAAGTGTGTACCCACTCTAAGTGTGTCCCCACTCTAAGGGAGTTTGTCCCCACTCTACCATAGTTTGTACCCACTCTACCAAAGTGAGTTCCCACTCTACCATAGTGAGTCCCCACTCTAAGTGAGTCCCCACTCTAAGGGAGTTTGTCCCCCCTCTACCATAGTGTGTCACCACTCTACCATAGTGTGTCACCACTCTACCACAGTGTGTCCCCAATCTTACATAGTGTGTTCCCACTCTTCCATAGTGAGTACCCACTCTATCATACTGAGTACCCACTCTACCACAGTGAGGCACCACTCTAACACTGTGAGTCCTCACTCTAACACTGTGAGTCCTCACTCTAACACTGTGAGTCCCCATTCTACCATAGTGAGTACTCACTCTACCATAGTGAGCCCCCACTCTACCATAGTGTGTCCCCACTCTACCACAGTGTGTCCCCAATCTTCCATAGTGTGTTCCCACTCTACCATAGTGAGTACCCACTCTACAACATTGTGTCCCCATTCTACCATAGTGAGTACCCACTCTTCCATAGTGAGTACCCACTCTACCATAGTGTGTCCCCACTCTAAGTGAGTACCCACTCTACCACAGTGTGTCCCCACTCTACCACAGTGAGTCACCACTCTACCACAGTGTGTCCCCACTCTACCATAGTGAGTCCCCACTCTAAGTGAGTCCCCACTTTACCATAGTGAGTACCCACTCTTACAAAATGAGTTTTTACATCAGTTTGATATATGCACATCAGGAAGAAGTGGTGTGTTTCTATACAATATGAAATATTACAAGAATCTCACAAGGCTGGACAATTTTCTTTCCACAAAATAATCTTCCTTATTGATTTTTCCTGCTTAAGAAAAGCAACTTCATCATCATTTTTTAGTGTATCAATCAAATAACTGTGATATCCCATGACGTAAATATCAATATAGAAAGTCATGCATTTTATATGAGGTTGCCATTAGATTTACATCTGTCTGCTATGCTCATCCTGGCTTACATCACTACTACCAGGTCCTGGCTTACATCACTACTACCAGGTCCTGGTTTACATCACTACTACCAGGTAAACAACTGGCTCTATTTTCATCAATCGGGCCATATCTTGGAATTCCTCAAATATGACAATTATCTGTTGACCCTGTAGTGTTTAAACCTGTCCTCAACTTTGATATATTCATACAAGTTAAACTAACTCTCTCATCACTGTTCATTCTAGACAGAAGCCATTTTGATGTCCCTATTTTACCTACATGCGTGTGTATTTCAGTGTGAAGTTCCCACCATGCTATAGGGTATACATATATATTAAAGACATCCTCATTCACAATACAATGTATACTCACTTCTGTAACTTTGATTTTGAAGTAATGGTTCTGGTCTGCTTTGTAGACAGCAGGGTTCCCAAAGGAGTCCTGTGTTTCTATGGTGAGGGGGTAGGGACTCCCTGCGGTACACACTATGGTGGAACAGTAGTTTGTAAATCCTGTTCTACTGGCATCAATAGGACCTACAACACAAAAAAACACATATTGTTAATTAACCGACCCATTTGTTAAGTGCAACCAATTTTAGTACTTTTGTTAAAATACACATTCAAACATATAAATTAAGCCATAAAAGATTTCTCGTCCACCAAGGTCTTCATTTTTTTAACAGTGCCTTTACCTGTAATCTACCAAGGACTTAATCAGACTTTACAAAGAAAATCAAAATCTGCAGGGTGATTTCTAAAACGCAGCAAAAACATGTCTGTTGCATTTAGAAATCAAGTATTGTTTTTAATTCCGACTCAACCAAAACAGGTAGTTGTATCTAGTATTTGATAAAGCTGTACACATTCCATGTATACCAGGTCTCTTTGACAATACCAGATCTTCAGGCGGGAACTTGTAGCAGTATAAATCCACTGTACCCTGATTGGATGCCATGCTGACCTCATCATCATAACATTTTTAGATAACTTGGACAATAGTACATCTTCTCAGTCACAGGAACATGCGTACACGGTCATACACTGCTTTAATACATATTTAAATGTTGAGTGATCCCCGGAGATTATTAACGTCAGTGAGAGGGAGTTCTGAGTTTCCTATCAAACACACACAGCCATCTGCTTTGATCTGTACAGTTATCAACTCATTATTTATTAAAATCTTCCCTTCAAAACAGTCGGATACACACACTGTAAAATAAGAAACTGATTGCATTAATTCAGAGCATAGAACCATCCTGAACACAGGACACAGACAATTCGGATTTTGTATGACCTTGAGACCTACATGTATGATTAATTAGCATGATATTTTTGTACTGTAATTCTTGCAGATAATTGTCTTTTAGGGAGAAAACTGGTGTTTAAAAGAATGTTTAACTTCCAACCTCTGATATACATAAGACAGGTGCAATCACAACAATGTATAAGAACATTAAATAGTATAAAGGCAATACATGAATCCCTAAGACATTTAGTACTACATATAAGGTGTTGTGGTAGAACAGCATGAACAAAAACATTTAATCAAAACATAAACAGTTATATCATCTATTAATCAATATTTTTGATAAGTAATACATAACTGGGATTGGGTCACTTCTCTTATCAAAAACCATGACATTAAAATACATTTTTTTCAAACCATTACCATACTCCATGAATTCCATTTACCATGGAATGAATTCTATGTTGATCAATTTTCAAGGTTATTATGTACCTAAATGAGCACAATTAAAATGGTGTTGATGAAAGTATAAAGATTCAATATATTTTTTATTGTAAAAACTCTTACCTGCATCAAACTCTCTGGTGAATGGACTGCCTTTAATGTGCTTCCCCGAGACCATGATTGAGATTTTATACGGGCCTGAGCGGTGGACAGTGAAGGACACACGCACTGTGTTAGATTTTCCCTCCTCCTCCTCGATTTGTTTAGTACAAGCGACCTTAACCCCACGGTGTAAAATCTCCACAATAATGTGACTTGTATCCTCATTCAGTATCACAAACGGTTTGCCATTTTTTCGAAATAACTGAAATATAAAACAGGAAGTAACAACAAAAGACGACCATAATGTCAATCTTTCCTTAGAAATTAAATATTTCCCTTCTCATACATATTTATGTGCTGTCAAAACACTATAGTTTCTAGTTAGTATTTCGTGGGCCTTTTTAAAATTCAAGAACCTAGAACACAAATGAAAATTTGGAATAACACAGAAACTGAGGCGAATCAACCCTGTATTGATGAGGCAGCGTAAAATACACCTTCCGGGAGTCACATGAGTTATTAAGTCAGCACATTTAAGCACTGTACAAATCTTATTAGTGCTTACTCTCATTCAAAAGTGTAAGAAGAAGTTAACCTTTAAGCATATACTACATGTATTTACCAAGGGTACACAGACTATATAAGTGATATGTATAAGCCCCATCCATCACTACCAAGGAACTCATATCAGACAGTACACACTAAGTTATAAACACAATTTGTGAACAGCACCAGCCTCCCTGTAACTCCTGTTACCAATCCAATGTTAAGCAGCTGAGTCCGTGTACATCTTCCCTGTCTAGTGATTTATATATACCTCATCTCTGATTATCAGTTATCATAGCAGTGAGATACGTATCTTTTACAGAAATAGCTCAAATCTGAGTTTGACCAATAAGACAACATTCTCTGATCTATCACAGAACGGCGTCCTGACCAGACAATTATATATGTTATCCTCTACTGTCATAACCTATTACAAAGTTAATATATATTCTTGCCAAGCAAAATACATCTAATTTGCAATGCAGACACTGCAACAGAGCTGGGAAATGAGTATAAATGCCAATCTTGTCAAAGTCTGCATGCATGAAGCCAATACAATTCTATATAACAGGATCTACGCGATTCCCAGGAACAGCGGCCTCATTGGGTCCTCCCGAGCGAGTCAGGGCTGTTGGCACAACAGTGGGACTAGGGACAAAATGTTAAATCTCCTACAGAATCGGCCCTAAATTAGTGAAATATACCAGTAAAGTGAGCTTTTACATTTGTGTTATATTTGTCTTTCAACTGTAGATTAATGCAGCTTCTTACAGTTGCTATGATTCTACAGATCTTAAATGTCATTATTTTCTAGTAAAATAATTCAGTGTAAAACCAGGTAACCAGTAAATTATATTACCAAGAATAATATATATACTACTATAATACAGTGACAATAATTGCATTATATATATATACTTATACATATATCAATAGGATATGAAGATGATTGTATTATATCTGTATATAATATTGCTTAGTGTTCTGTCATTAAGTTTTGGTCTCTTCACTGCAACATTTAATAATTTGTACAATATGTTTTTCAACAGTCATAACAATAAGGTAAAATACACAACACGAGGCCTAGAGGGCCTGTATCACTCATCTGGATCGTAATGCCCAGCAATGGTATAAATAGCTATGGAATGGGGATCTCAACCACTTCAAAGCTATGACCCAAGAATTAAGTCCCTAGGGGTAGGGCCAGACCCAAGGGTCAAAACTAATATCACAATTGTGTTCGTCTTTTAATGCCAGGCAATGGTATATATGGTTATTGGGTGGAGATCTCAACAGTTTCAAAGTTATGGCTCAGGAATTAAGTCCCTAAGAGTGGAGGAGCAAGACCCCAGGGTCAACTCTAATATCATGATTGCATGAGTTTTTTATGCTCAGCAATTGTATACATGGTTATAGGGTGGAACCCTTAATAATGTCAAAGTAAAATATTGTTTTTTGCCCCAACCCTCAGATCCAGGAGTCAGCCCTTAAACTGGTACGAATCCTCACCACTTGAGAATGCTTCCAACCAAATATGGTTGATATCCATCACTTTGTTCAAGAGAAGAAGTCGCTTAAAATAATATTGTCAAATAACCTCTTTTTGGCCGAGCCCCTCATCCCCCTGGGGGTCAGCCCCTCCATTTGTATACTTCCTATCAAATGTGGTTGATGTCAATCTGGATGCTATGGATGCTTCCATTCAAATTTACAATCAGCGGTTGTGAAGAAGAGGTCGTTCGAAGAAAATGTTGACATGTGGACGACAGACAGACAGACGACAGATGGACAGACGAAATGATGGACAACAATTGCCACGGCATGGCATGACATTGCATTTATCAGTACGTGATTTCAATAACAAAGGGACAAGTACCGCCTCCTTTTGTCCTTACTACTCCACTTCATGCCCAATCTAGGCCGTTGTTTGTAGAGCCTATGACTGACTATAAACAATCAGATGTCTGCTTGAATAAATTACTTATATCAGCAGGAATTTTAAGGCAAGAACATAAAAAAACACTGAAACTTATTAAACATCCTTTGCAATATCATACACTACAACTAATGTGTTTCTTTTACCACATCTTTAGTATTTCTTACATCATAACTATTACATTTGTTATACCAAAACTGTTCTTTTCATTGGTATATATATCTTGATATTCCAATCAATAATTTATGAAAAATGAAGATTTACAAACAAATCATAAACAACCTTTTGTAGATATATGTATGGATTAAAGAGACCTTTTGTAGATAAATGTATGGATTAACAGACCTTTTGCAGATGTATGTATGGATTAACAGACTTTTTGTAGATATATGTATGGATTTACAGACCTTTTGTAGATATATGTATGGATTTACAGACCTTTTGTAGATATATGTATGGATTAAGCAGACTTTTTGTAGATATGTATGGATTTACAGACCTTTTGTAGATATATGTATGGATTAAACAGACTTTTTGTAGATATATGTATGGATTTACAGACCTTTTGTAGATATATGTATGGATTAACAAGACCTATTGTAGATATATGTATGGATTTACAGACCTTTTGTAGATATATGTATTGATTAAAGAGACCTTTTGTAGATATATGTATGGATTAAAGAGACCTTTTGTAGATATATGTATGGATTAAAGAGACCTTTTGTAGATATATGTATGGATTTACAGACCTTTTGTAAATATATGTATGGATTTACAGACCTTTTGTATATATATATATGTGTATGGATTAACAGACCTTTTGTAGATATATGTATGGATTTACAGACCTTTTGTATATATTTATATGTATAGATTTACAGACCTTTTGCAGATATATGTATGGATTTAAGAAACTGATAGGTATGAAAGAGGTAGTTTAGATTTGCTGTAAACACTCTGACAGTAATATTACCTAGGATTTGCTGTGAACATTGACTATTGGTTAGAGTTTGCTGTAAACACTCTGACTATTAGCTTGGGTTTGCTGTAAACAATTTGACTATTATCGTGGGTGTGCTGAAATTAAACACTCTGACTATAAGCTTGGTTTGGTCAGACTTTCTGACTTTTAGCTTGAGTTTCCTTTTAACACAGTCTACTAGCTGGGGTTGGCTGTAAACACTCTGACTACTACCTTGGGTTGCTATAAACTGACTATTAGCTAGAGTTTGCTGTTAACACTGACTATTAGCTAGAGTTTGCTGTTAACACTGATTATTAGCTAGAGTTTGCTGTTAACACTGACTATTAGCTAGGGTTTGCTGTTAACCCTCTGACTATTAGCTAGGGTTGCTGTAAACTGACTATTAGCTAGAGTTTGCTGTTAACACTTTGACTATTAGCTAGGGTTTGCTGTAATCACTCTGACTACTACCTTGGGTTGCTGTAAACTGGCTATTAGCTAGAGTTTGCTGTTAACACTCTGACTATTAGCTAGGGTTGTTATTTACTTCATCATCCTGTCATAGCTTACATTAAGGCAAAAACATCTCAGTAAGATATACTATAACGTGAAGGACATGATTACCTGATGTCTTAACACCTTACAAATGAAATACATTGATACACCAATGTTACAACAGAGGAAGATTATGGATTATGGACACATGCTTTGTGACATAGTCTTGTTACAAGCACCCATACATCAAAGAGAACATCGCCAAATCAAGGAAAGCCGTGCCAGCATCCACTACAATAGGCCTTAGCTAACAGGTCGCAGCACCAGTGACTGGCACAGACAGATTAGCCTGTGGTGCCGCTGCATCATCAATCTGTCCGATGGCGTATCAGAGAAGTGAGAAGGCCACCTCTTTATATTCTTGCTGATGAATGTCTCCGATTTCTAGCTCCCTCATACTCCCAACACATTGCTCTACATCAATAAGCAGCACAGGAAATCACTCCAATGTTCTTAGGGCAAGGCTTTTGTATAGCTATCATAAAATGTGGAAAATCTAGACGAGTAGAACTAATGGAATGGCACTGCCATAAAATGTTATCATAAATTTGATGGAGTAATTATAAGAAGAAAGTTAATATCTTGATGAAATAAAGTACAGGATGTAAATGAATAAAAAGACGTTACGACCCCGGTATGACAAAGTCAGTCGGAGGAAAAATCAAAGGAGAAAATTATACAACTGAGGACAACATTTATAATAAAAGGATAAGGTTGAACTATACCAAGGCTACCTGCACGCTATCAAAGGACTCAGTGTATGAAATATGTTACCCTGGATTATATAGTGTCCAGACTAACAAGGACACAGGGTATGAAATATGTTATCCTGGATTATATAGTGTCCAGGCTTACAGGGACTCAGGGTATGAAATATGTTACCCTTGATTATATAGTGTCCAGGCTTACAGGGACTCAGGGTATGAAATATGTTACCCTGGATTATATAGTGTCCAGGCTTACAGGGACTCAAGGGTATGAAATATGTTACCCTGGATTATATAGTGTCCAGGCTTACAGGGACTCAAGGGTATGAAATATGTTACCCTTGATTATATAGTGTCCAGGCTTACAGGGACTCAGGGTATGAAATATCTTATCCTGGATTATATAGTGTCCAGGCTTACAGGGACTCAGGGTATGAAATATGTTACCCTGGATTATATAGTGTTCAGGCTTACAGGGACTCAAGGGTGTGAAATATGTTACCCTGGATTATATAGTGTCCAGGCTTACAGAGACTCAGGGTATGAAATATGTTACCCTTGATTATATAGTTCAGACTTATAGGGACATTCAAATTCTAATGACAGTATCATATTATGCCAAATCAACATATTAACAGCCAAGGGAAACTGTATAAGTCTTAATTAGATTGCTTAATTAAAATGGATGCAACAAATTGGTTTTCCACCAAAAGTTCAAAAAAATCAATCCATCTATTATTATGTCTATATTCTATGTCGTCAAGATCGTGACATTATAATATATCATCAGATATTTTCATAAGAATGCAATCCTAAACAAGAAATCCACCGGAGTGGATTTGTGGCCTGCTCAGCGCTTTTAGTGAGAAAAGCGTTTTGGCTTGAGTTATCACGTAAACAGATATGCCAAAACATAAAAAGTTGAAACCTAACAGAAAAACCCCTAATATATGTTGAACATTATTGCTTCTAGCATTACTGTACAAAATTAGAAAGGAATTGATTAAAAAATTAAAAAAGTTCTTACATTTACTATACAATGCCCTTATTTGGCAATAAAAGGGGCATAACTCCACTAAAAATGCACCTAACTTCTGAAATGCAAACTTGTCTGAGCTATATTGGTATTCAATATGTGTACCAAGTTTGAGTTCAATTAACCCAAGGGAACTCAAGTTATCGCACGGAAACCTTGTTTCGGTCGACGCAACTGACGATGCCGATGATGACGCCACCGACAAAGTAATACCTATATGTCGCCTCGCGTTGCAGGCGACACAATAAACCATTACCAATCATCTGCTCTAAATACCTTTTGGACCTGTGAAAGAAATTAATTGGATTGTGTATGTTTGATTTACCATTTTAGCAGCACCTCTGCTATTTTACCTATCATAGCGTAGTTGTTCAACTCCATTGATACTGATGATACAAAATCTTTAAATGATAAAAAAATCCCAACAAATCTTAACCAAATCAATACACAAATTTAGCTAGAATTTATTTAATCTGTTTCTGAAGTGATCATCCAAAGAGAATAAGATTTATACTGGTTTAATTGGTTACCCATGCACTACCTGTAGTAAAGTACTTGCTTTGGTAAAATATGATTATATGATCTTCTGAAATGTTTATTCTGTTGCCAATAGCAGAAGAATTATGATGACTGAAAATGCATTTAACTAAGACTGAACATGATGAAATATTGGAGAAATAAAGACGACTTACCTGTACGGTAAAGGACATTGTACTGCCGACACCATGAGGGCTTGTCCAGCCCCATTGGACCACACAATACTGGGCGGACACATTCACGCCCCATAATACGTTCCATAGCCAGCCTTTGTTCGGGTTCAGGTCAACGAGTGAGGGTCTGACAGGGGCCACCGATCGCAATGGAGGTAGATTGGGTCGCCAATGTATTACACTTCTTACACACTCAAACATGATGAATAAAATCAATAGAAATGATCCCAGGAGTAGGGTCAGCCCTGTGAAGAGTAACAGGAAATTTTATCAAACATTTATACAGCATAAATATCACTTTGTAATACAACTATGGATAGCCCATCTCTGGTTGTCTTCTAGACACGTATATAGCACCCAACAGTGCACTTTGGCACTCGTGCAGGCAGAATAGGGGTCACAGATCGACCAACGATTACCTTTTTATCACACACTGAAATGTCTCTGAGGACATGTTTTTGCTGAGGTGAGGATAAGAATGTCAGTCAGTGAATCTCTGTCCTAGCAGCCTTATATCACTGTTCTAACAGCTATTCTAGCAGCCTTATATCACTGTTCTAACAGCTGTCCTAGCCACTTTATATCACTGTTCTAACAGGTATCCTAGCACCCTTATATCACTGTTCTAACAGCTGTCCTAGCCACTTTATATCACTGTTCTAACAGGTATCCTAGCACCCTTATATCACTGTTCTAACAGATAATCTAGCAGTCTTATACCACTGTTCTAATAGCTATCCTAGCCACCTTATATCACTGTTCTAACAGATATGCTAGCACCCTTATATCACTGTTCTAACAGCTATCCCAGCCACCTTATATCACTGTTCTAACAGATATGCTAGCCACCTTATATCACTGTTCTAACAGATATGCTAGCACCCTTATATCACTGTTCTAACAGCTATCCTAGCCACCTCATATCACTGTTCTAACAGCTATCCTAGCCACCTTATATCACTGTTCTAACAGCTATCCTAGCACCCTTATATCACTGTTCTAACAGCTATCCTAGCCACCTTATATCACTGTTCTAACATTTATCCTAGCACCTTTATATCACTGTTCTAACATCTATCCTAGCACCCTTGTATCACTGTTCTAACAGCTATCCTAGCACCTTTATATCACTGTTCTAACAGCTATCCTAGCACCCTTATATCACTGTTCTAACATCTATCCTAGCACCCTTATAACACTGTTTTAACAGCTATCCTAGCCACCTTATATCACTGTTCTAACATCTATCCTAGCACCCTTATATCACTGTTCTAACAGCTATCCTAGCACCCTTATATCACTGTTCTAACAGCTATCCTAGTCACCTTATATCACTGTTCTAACATCTATCCTAGCACCCTTGTATCACTGTTCTAACATCTATCATAGTCACCTTATATCACTGTTCTAACAGCTATCCTAGCACCCTTATATCACTGTTCTAACAGCTATCCTAGCCACCTTATATCACTGTTCTAACATCGATCCTAGCACCCTTATATCACTGTTCTAACATCTATCATAGCCACCTTACAGCATTGTTCTAACAGCTATCCTAGTCACCTTACATCACTGTTCTAACAGCTATCCTAGCACCCGTATATCACTGTTCTAACAGCTATCCTAGCACCCGTATATCACTGTTCTAACAGCTATCCTAGCCACTTTATATCACTGTTCTAACAGCTATCCTAGCCACTTTATATCACTGTTCTAACAGCTATCCTAGCCACCTTATATCACTGTTCTAACATCGATCCTAGCACCCTTATATCACTGTTCTAACATCTATCATAGCCACCTTACATCATTGTTCTAACAGCTATCCTAGTCACCTTATATCACTGTTCTAACAGCTATCCTAGCACCCTTATATCACTGTTCTAACAGCTATCCTAGCCACCTTATATCACTGTTCTAACATCTATCATAGCCACCTTACATCACTGTTCTAACAGCTATCCTAGTCACCTTATATCACTGTTCTAACAGCTATCCTAGCACCCTTATATCACTGTTCTAACAGCTATCCTAGC